TAAAACTACAAAAATTAGCTGGGCATGGTGGCACGTGCCTGTAGTCCCAGCTACTCAGGAGGCTGAGGCAGGAGAATCACTTGAACCAGGGAGGTGGAGGTTGCAGTGAGCCAAGATTGCAGCACTGCACTGCATCCAACCTGGCAACAGAGAGAGACTCCATCTCAAAAAAAAAAAAAGAAAGAAAAAGAAAAAGAAGAAAGAGAAAGAAGGAAAGAGAAAAGAAAGAAAGAAAGAAAGAAGGAAAGACGAAAGAAAGAAAAAAAGAAAGAAAGAAAGAAAGAAAGAAAGAAAGAAAGAAAGAAAGAAAGAAAGAAAGAAAGAAAGAAAGAAAGAAAGAAAGAAAGAAAGAAAGAAAGGAGAAAGAAAGAAAGGCAGGCAAAGACCCTATGGTTGGCTTAATGCTCTGTCATCACTGCCTTGAAATCATTGATAATGTTTTCACAAGGGGCCCCAAATCTTCACTTTACTTTGGGCCCCATAATCTCTGTAGCTAGTCCTGTTGACATTATAATCCCTTTTATTTTTTTATTTTTATTTATTAATTTTTTTTTTTTTTTTTTTTTTTTTGAGACGGAGTCTCGCTCTGTCGCCCAGGCTGGAGTGCAGTGGCGCGATCTCAGCTCACTGTAAGCTCCGCCTCCCGGGTTCATGCCATTCTCCTGCCTCAGCCTCCGGAGTAGCTGGGACTACAGGTGCCCACCACCACGCCCAGCTAATTTTCTGTATTTTTAGTAGAGACAGGGTCTCACCACAAGAATCAGCCTCAATTGTTCCATAAACACTAGGTTTTCAGCTACAGCAAAACCAGTTCACTTCTTCCTGCCATGGGTGCATGGCTGCATGCACCTGGTAAACCACAAGATTTCAGAAGTCCAGAGGGCACTGGTACACCGGCAGAACATGGACAGACACATACCCACACTCAGCTGAATATCGCCAGGCACCACACACAGCTTCTTTGCCAAACATCAGCACTGTTCAGAATAATAAAAACAGAATTGTCAAGGCACTGTGAGTTTCCCCACAGCTGTGGCCAGCGGCAGGTGTAACCTCAATCAACCTAAGGACTGTTCCCTAGAGAGTGGTACTTGACTGATCCAAAAAACAAACAAAAAAAAAAAAACACTTACAAAATCACAATTCACAGCAATCTGAATCTGCTTTCAGGAAGTGTGAACAGTGATGCCTGTTCAATTAGACCTTTTATTCATTTAAATGCAGTACTAAAAACCAGGTTAACAGAACAATGCTCTGTTTTTTTTCTTTTTAGTCCAAGAACACCTGGCTTGTTAGAAAAGCAACCCGAGAAGACAAGAAGGCATCTCTCCAATTGTGGAGAGGTTTTATGCCTAATCTGTTTATTCATTTAGATTTGATCCAAAGGAGTAAAGCTGTTGTACTGGATTTCACTTGCAGTCACATGATACTCAGTTGTCAAGGATATGAATATGCCTAAAATTCTAGCTACAAAAGAAAAGGAGATCTGTGTGCATGTGTGTAGGTATATGCGTGTATGTACATAAATATATATATATATATAATATTTTTCAAATAGTGTAGAATAATTTTGAAATACTGACTAAAGTTTTCTTAGTCAAAATATTTAAGGTGATAGATACCCCAGGTACACTGATTTGATCTTTATATAAGTGTATTAAATTATCCCATGTACCCTGAAACTATGTACATCTATTATGCATCAATAAAAAATTGTTTAAGAAATATATACACACATAGACTTAATATGAAAAAAGATGTATTATTTCATCATTAACTTTAAGATTTTGATTACACATTGAAATGATATTTTATATATTATATATATATATATTCTGTTAACAGAGGCAGTGGCATACTAGAGCAGCTTTATTGGCTCTCGAGTGCTGAATGTACATTTTCAACTCCACATTCGGTGATGTTATATTGGTATTTTGAAATCAGCCATGATTTCAATACAACTTACATCATGGTATCATGGTGACATCTGCTACAAACCAAGGCATTTTCTCCCTGGGAATCCATATAACAACACACCATTCTATTGAGCTTACTGTAAAAGTTCTAAATAAAACTTGGAAATTGTGAAAATTAAAACATTGTAGATCCAAGTGATTGAAACAAAATAAAACTGATGAAGAATGATTACAGTAGGAGTTTCAATTCCACATAAAGGAAGAGAGGAAGCTGGAAGAAAAGCACTTACCTCTATCAGTTCCAACCTGTTGCTTCAGACTATCTTCCAGGACAGCACATGATAGCCTAAGACACAGCAGTTAAAATACCACATATTCTCACTTATAAGTGGTATCTAAATGGTGAGAACACATGGGCACACAGAGGGAAACAACACACTTTGGGGCCTTTCAGAGGGATGAGGGTGAGAGGAGGGAGAGGATCAGGAAAAATAAATAATGTGTACTAGGCTTAATACCTGGGTGATGAAATAATCTGTATAACAATCCCTCATGACACAAATTTACCTATGTAATAAACCTGCACTTGTACCCCTGAACTTAAAATAAAAGTTAAAAAAAAAAATACTTCCCCTGAGCAACACTGCACCTGAAAATGCAATGAGTGAGTATGTATAGTCTATCTTGGAGCTGGGCTACCTAATGTCATGAGTACAAATCACAAAAATAAATAGTTACATAAAATATATGCCTTCATTTTCTCAAAGTCAATACTACTAAAATAAACACATTTTATAAAGATGGGGACAATTAAACCAATTAGAACTCTATTTAATTATCCCGTTTAGTTTAAGTATATTAAAATAACCCCAAAATTATATATAACACAGAGGGAAATAATTATTAAAACTGAGTAAGAACGTTGTCATTTTATTTCACATCAAGTCTAATCACATGAAGGGACCCCTTCTCAACAGGGAACTATGAGAAATTAAACAAAGAATTTATTGCTCAGCTGTCTGTGGCTGCATAAATTTATGGCCAAAGGGAAAATTGCACCAGATGTATTCTGCAGGGGGAGAGGGGCCACTGCATTTCATTAGTGATAGCAAAGGTCTTACCAGAATAATTCAGCCTTTTTTATTTCATAATTTTAGCTTTTAGATATATCACTAACCACCCCCCACAGCCCACCAGATACTCAACATGTTATTTTCTATTGGCTTATTTCTTTCAGCAATTCCTTAAAGGGGGAGAACTAGAGAGAGGGAAGGAGAAAGTTTATAGGAATCTTCAGGTCATACGTGTTGTTTAGAAGGAAGGATTGTTTACACTTTTCTTTTATAATACAAATTAAAGAAAGCAAATCTGGGCAAAATCTTTTGGACTAGTGAGAATCCAGTGAAGATGTAATGCCAGCATAGATTAAAGACACTAATTTACAGTACTAACTACTAATACTCTAGGGCTGACTACTAATACTCTGGGACTATTAATACTTCAGGGCTTTGGGCTCAGCACTGTTCTGAGGTGTCACGATGAGAAGTGACAATGTGCTAGCAGCCCTCACTCTCAGCGCCTCCTCAGCCTCGTCGTCCACTCTGGCGGTGCTTGAGGAGCCCTTCAGCCCGCGACGGCTCTGTGGAAGCCCCTCTCTGGGCTGGCCGAGGCAGGAGCCCGCTCCCTCTGCTTTCGGGGAGGTGTGGAGGGAGAGGCACGGGCGGGAACCGGGGCTGCGCGCGGCGCTAGCGGGCCAGCGCGAGTTCCGGCGGGCGCAGGCGCGGCCTCGGTGGGCCCCGCACACTGAGCGGCCTGCCGGTTCCTCCGGCCCAGGGCAGTGAGGGGCTTAGCACCCATGCCAGCAGCTGCAGAGGGTGCCGGCTGGCCGGCACTGGGTTCGAGTTGTCTCCGGGCCTCAGCTGCCTCCCTGCAGGCAGGGCTCGAGAGACCTGCAGCCCGCCCTGTCCGAGCCCCTCCCCTGCGGCGGGCTCCCCTGCCGCCCGAGCTTCCCCGATGGGCGCCGCCCCCTGCTCCGTGGCGCTGGGTCCCATTGACAGCCCGAGGGCTGAGTAGTGCAGGCGCAGCTGGGGACTGGCGGGCAGCTAAGCCTGCACCCCAGTGCAGGATCCACTGGGTGAAGCCAACTGGGCTCCTGAGCCGGATGGGGACTTGGAGAACTTTTATATCTAGCTGGAGGATTTCATGTGCACCAATCAGCACTCTGTATCTAGCTAATCTGGTGGCAACTTGGAGAACTTTTATGTCTAGCTAGAGGATTGTAAATACACCAATCAGCACTCTGTGTCTAGCTCAGGGTTTGTAAATACACCAATCAGTACTCTGTGTCTGGCTCAAGGTTTGTAAATACACCAATTGGTACTCTGTATCTAGCTAACCTAGTGGGGACTTGGAGAACTTTTATGTCTAGCTAGAGAATTGTAAATGCACCAGTCAGCACCCGGTCAAAACAGTCCAATGAGCTCTCTGTAAAGTGGACCAATCAGCTCTCTGTAAAATGGACCAATCAGCAGGATGTGGGTGTGGCCAGATAGGGGAATAAAAGGCTGCCCCAGCTAGACAGGGGCAACCCGCTTGGTCCTGTTCCAGTTGTGGAAGTTTTGTTCTTATGCTCTTTGCAGTGCTGTTCACTCTTTGGGTCCATGCTGCCTTTGTGAGCTGTAACATTCACGGTGAAGGTCCACAGTTTCACTCATGAAGCCAGCGAGACCATGAACCCACCAGGAAGAAGGAACAAACTCCAGACACGCCATCTTTAAGAACTGTAACACTCACGACGAAGGTCCATGGCTTCATTCTTGAAGTCAACGAGACCAAGAACCCACCAATTCCAGACACAGCAACAACCCTATCAAGTGTTTATCTTTTATAGGCCTAATTTTCAAATGAGGAAACTGAGCACAGAGAGGGTAACTAAAATATCAAAGTAAATTATATAACCAGAAAGTGTAGTTCTAAACTAGACTCTTAATATCTGTGCACATACCTCTATGCCCTGCCGCCTAAAGCATGAAATACCTGCCTTGAGAAAGCCAAAGAGATGAAAATACAAAGCCACAAAGCAAATCATTTGAGGCAGGATTTAATGACTGGTCTTGTACAGAAAGTTAATACCATATAAAGTACCATACATGTGTAACATATTTCTGTTTCTCTTTGAGAAATTTTTCTGCCATCCCAGACTTAACTGTTGTTTATCTCCTTAAAAGGATGTACTCTTCTCCAGCTCCTGATACAGCTAGCATCCAGAATACAGTGTTGCTTATGAAACAATTTTTCAATGAATGAATCCATCAACCAATTAATCAGTCAATGAGTAAGATAATAGCTACGGCATTAAATTTATCTGTAGCTGAACAGTGCTTGATGTGGTTTATTGTTCGAATAATCCTTGATGGTCTCAGAGTATCGGGATAAGCTTTTAAGGTTTGTAGATATAGCTGTGAAGACCTAGTATGGATAAAATAGAGAAATAATATTGTGAAAGATAAAGGGATTAGTTTTAATGATGTACTGAGAATATACCAAACTCAAGACTGTTCACATCATTTAACTCATTAATTCTCACAATATATCTGATAGATGAAAAAATGGAGGCTCAACAAATAAAGTTATTTGCCAAAAGTGATGCCGGCAAATAAGTGGAAAATTGATGTTATGAGGCCAATCTTTTTAACTCCAAAGCTCTTTTCACTACCATCCAGTATTTCAGGGGGAAGTGCAGGAGTGGAACAGGAGACGGGGAGGAGGAAAAAGGAAGAATAAAATGAATATAAGATGAAATGTAGGCAGGAGAGAAGTTCTGTGAACTTTGGTTTCTGCTCCAGTTTGACCTAGAAATATCCAGACAATTATTTTAATCCCCCAATTTCCTCAACTGGGATTAAAATAAGCGTGACCCAGTTGTCACAGTCCTCCTGACAGGAAAGCCAGTGCTGACATGCAATTAACTCAGGGCTTCACTGTGTGCTGGCAGGAGTTCCCGTAGGGAGGTAGCCTCCACAGAAGTTCTTTTTCACCTTCTGAGTTGGAGGTAATTGCCCCTGTACGGGAAATTCAAAACCTTGGTGCCTTCAGGCAGAAATCTGGCCATTCATTTGCAGAACCTTGGTACTATCCTGGCAATTGCAGATGCCTCCTCAGCAGTTACAGCTGTCTGGTGGGACACCTGTTCTCCCTAATAGAAGGTGATGGGTAAGGGGCTGGTGAAGAAATATTGGCAGCAACTCCTCTAATGTCTTATGATTGGACAAAAACTCACAAGGAGCCATAATATAAAGGAAATTCTGCCCACAGTAGCATTTTTCCAGAGAAGAGCCAGTTTGAGATGCAGTAAGTTAGAGATACCCAGTAGAATCTGATGATGGGCAGTCGAGAAACTCGTTTAGAAAAGAATTCCAGGTGGTGGCTCACACCTGTAATCCCAGCACTTTGGGATGCCGAGGTGGGCAGATCAAAGTCAGGAGTTTGAGACCAGCCTGACCAATGTGAAACCCCATCTCTACTAAAAATACAAAAAAAAAAATTAGCTGGGCATGGTGGCGGGCACTTGTAATCCCAGCTACTTGAGAGGCTAAGGCAGGAGAATCCCTTGAAGCCTGGAAGTGGAGGTTGCAGTGAGCCAAGATTGTGCTACTGCACTCCCGCCCAGATGACAGTGCGAGACTCCATCCCCCCCCCAAAAAAAAAGAATCCCTAAGGAGAAACTAGAGAAACTATAAAGAAGTGAATAGTGCAATGCCCTCTCCACATTGGTAACACTATACATTTAAAAATCTCCAGCATTCACAATGGCTTTCTTCATCCACCCTCCTCCTACTTTTTAGTAATTGGTTTAATGGACACTAAAAGCATGATGAAGAATGTAGTGTACCCAATTTATTACCACAGCTCATTTCATAGATAGCAAGCCCACGCCTTACATGCTGCATTGAATATATAGGTTACATTTAAGGATCAATATCACCTGACTGCAATTTGATAAGTGCTTATAATTTAATTTCCAGTTACGACATTTACTTAATCAAATCTTTGGCAATGAGAGTCCATTCAAGTACAATATGCAATAAGAGGATCTGGAAAAGAGAGGAAATCACAGGGTGAATATTCAGAAACTTAAGTGTATGATTTACATCCACTATAACTTAAATAAAAACTCTTATGTCTTTTAAGAAACATTCACAAGTATTAACCCAACACTTGTGGAAAACATAATAATTATAAAACATTTTATATGTAGGGAGTCTGGTAGAAGACATGAATAATCCAGAAATGGCATGGTCAATGTAAAAAATGAGATTTAATCAGAAATACCTTAACTAATTATATATAAATGATGTCTTCATATTGCATTATAATGTGATATTTTTAATCACTTTAAATATATTTTTGAGTGTGATTTTAATTAAAAAGTAAATCACACTCAGGAAAATTTAAAGGCAGCTTAGAAACTGTTTTTAACATGTCTAAAAGTTACTCTAGGTATCTAACTTAAAGCCCTCAAGTACAACTATTTTGTTATGAATGATCAAAAATTGTTTTTGTCCCACTACAGCTCCTGAATACAGCATAGTTTGCCTCATTTCATATTTTAAAGACATTGTGTCCTCCTAGTAAAGAGTTGCACAACCACACATAAAATTGTTTGTATTGGTCCTTTTACTTGAAACTTTGGGCCTTTAGAAGAACATGGTTAGAGTAAGAAGAAAGAAAACGACTTTTAAGTAAATGATGAAAGATGAAAGACCAACACAGAATGGACAATATTTCAACTCAAACCTTTAAATGAGAGTGCCAAAGAAATGTACTCTTCACCTAAAAGACAGAAAAAGAGCATGGCCTTGCCATGCCAAGTAGAGAAGATTCTGGGAGCTTTCCTGGTACTCCTTCCCTTAGATCTATCCTCTCTTCTCTTCCTTTTTCTCCAGCATCTCAGACATCAGCAACTTGCAGAAGAGAATTTCCCTGACTCAAAATGTAGTGTTGGGCAGTTAATCTGGGCACTTCAGCATTTCATAAATGATTTTTTGTGGGCTCTTTTCCTAGGATTCAGGAAGGGGACATGTGCTATCTTCTCCCCTCACCCCGCCACCCCCCCCCCCCCCCGCCCGCCACACACACACACACAGAGCACAAGGTAGGTAAGGAGAAAATTTCCTTGTGTGAATAAAGTACTCCCCAAGAGGATACCTCCTTTTCTCTTCCAGGCCCCTTATTATACCCAGTTGGGAGAGGGTAAGTCTGAAGAGAGGCAGATGGTACCTGTGGATGATGGTCCCATGAAGAGAACGTGAGGCATTTTTGCCTTTAGCTTTAGGCCTTAACTGATTTCTGCATTTCTAAGCCAACTGAAAACATCCTACTCCACATTTAACACCAAAGTCTTACATTGAAAATAGCCTAAATGCTCATCTATGGTGAAATAGAGGGGAAAAAAAACAGCAACAAAATTGACATATTCAAATTATATAATATTGTGCTAAGAGGAATTAGCTAGATCTGTATATACCAACATGGAAAGATCTCAAAAACATAATGATAAATATAAAACGAGGCAAAATGAGATGTATAGTGCTCTCTAGCCTCAGTTTCCTCATCATTACATTAATTCATTCACTCAGGAAATCTTGGTTGAGTGCCTACCATGTCCCAGAACCTGTTTTAGGCAATAAAGATATAGCAATAAAAAATGAAAGAAAACAAAGGCTCTTCCTTCATAGAGTTACAGTCTAGTGGTGTGAAACAATAAATGAATATTACATTTATGGCAAATCAGATCTATTGTTTTCAAAAAGCTGTAAAGAAAAATAAAACAGAGAATTAAAAAATGTAGTATTAGAGGAAGAAGACTAGAAAGTTTTGCAGATAAGATTTTGCTAGAAAGGTGATATCGTAGTAAAGACATAAAGAGTAGAAGAGAGACAAATAAGCCTTTGTTGCGACAGATGCACAGATTAAGATTTGAGGTTGTAATCTATAAAGAACTCAAACAAATTTACAAGAAAAAAACAGACAACTCCATCAATAAGTGGGCAAAGGAAATGAACAGACACTTCACAAAAGAAGACATTTATACAGCCAACAGACACATGAAAAAATGCTCATCATCACTGGCCATCAGAGAAATGCAAATCAAAACCACAATGAGATACCATCTCACACCAGTTAGAATGGCGATCATTAAAAAGTCAGGAAACAACAGGTGCTGGAGAGGACATGGAGAAATAGGAACACTTTTACACTGCTGGTGGGATTGTAAACTAGTTCAACCATTGTGGAAAACAGTGTGGTGATTCCTCAAGGATCTAGAACTAGAAATACCATTTGACCCAGCCATCCCATTACTGGGTATATACCCAAAGGATTATAAATCATGCTGCTATAAAGACACATGCACATGTATGTTTATTGCGGCACTATTCACAATGGCAAAGACTTGGAATCAACCCAAATGTCCTTCAATGACAGATTGGATTAAGAAAATGTGGCACATATACACCATGGAATACTATGCAGCCATAAAAAAGGATGAGTTCGTGTCCTTTGTAGGGACATGGATGCAGCTGGAAACCATCATTCTCAGCAAACTATCACAAGAACAGGAAACCAAGCACCACATGTTCTCACTCATAGGTGGGAATTGAACAATGAGATCACTTGGACACAGGAAGGGGAACATCACACACCGGGGACTGTTGTGGGGTCAGGGGAGGGGGGAGGGATAGCATTAGGAGATATATCTAATGTAAATGACGAGTTAGTGGGTGCAGCACACCAACATGGCACATGTATACATATATAACAAACCTGCACATTGTGCACATGTACCCTAGAACATAAAGTATAAAAAAAAAAAAAAGATTTGAGGTTATTAGTGAAGCTTTCTCAAGCCTATTCTAATTAACATACATTCTTTCATATCTTTTCTTCTTCTTCTTCTTCTTCTTGTTTTTTTTTTTTTTTTTTTTTTTTTTGAGATGGAGTCTTACTCTGTCATCCAGGCTGGAGTGCAGTAGTGGCAGGATCTCAGCTCACTGCAACCTCCATCTCCTGGGTTCAAGCAATTCTCCTGCCTTAGCCTCCTAAGTAGCTAGGATTATAGGTGCATGTCACCACACCTGGCTCATTTTTTTATTTTTAGTAGAGACAGGGTTTCACCATGTTGGCCATGCTGGTCTTGAACTCTTGACCTCAGGTGATCCACCCACCTCAGCCTCCCAAAGTGCTGGGATTACAGGTGTGAGCTACCACGCCCAGCCTGAAAAAGGGTGGCTTTTTTTTTTTTATGGAGTCTCGCTCTGTCGCCCAGGCTGGAGTGCAGAGGCACAATCTCGGCTCACTGCAACCTCTGCCTCCCGGATCAAGCGATTCTCGTGCCTCAGCCTCCTGAGCAGCTGGGACTATGGGCATGCACCAGCATGCCCAGCTAATTTTTGTATGTTTAGTTGAGATGGGGTTTTGCCATGTTGGCTAGGCTGGTCTTGAACTGACCTCAGGTGATCCACCCGCCTCAGCCTCCCAAAGTGCTGGGATTACAGGTGTGAACCACCAAGCCCAGCCTCTATTTTCTAGTGTAGATAAAAAACATTCTTTATTTTCACATATTTTCAGGCATTTCGGTGGGAATCTAATTCCTGGGGCTGAGAGGCAGACAATTAAACTTGGAACTAATTTTATTTTGAATCAATGTGTACCTTTTAAGGATTTTGGTAGAAAAAAATTTATTGTTATTGAGCTACTCAGAAATAATTGTGCCTAATATACCTGATGCTTAAGTAGGAGTCACTATTAAGAACTCTGATATTGAAAATTTTTAGGAGACTGAATAAAAGCATCTGGCTTGTTTCCTGAAGAACAACCCAATATATGTCAAAATCTCACTAGCTTGCCTCTCAAATTTATTGTTTAATCTAATGTTAGCTACAAAGCTAACCATAAAGTTTATGGCAGAAGAGATTCTGTGACAAATGGAAGAATATCAAAACTAATGTCTAGAAATAGCTGGATATAAAATCCAGCTTCTTAACGGACCTGTGATAGTAAGCAAGATAACTCATTTCTCTGGGACTCAGTTTCCACATTCGTAAATGGAAATACATTCCTTCCTCTCAGAAGTTGAAAAAAGGATATATAAATGTTTGCTCTGCATCTTTCCCTGTTCAAGAATCTAAGCTCTATAAAGGCAAAGAGCATGTCTGCTGTATTAGTCCTAGTGCCCTGGGACCTCTCAGAGGCTATCCTGGCTCATAAAAAGTGCTCATTAAATTTTTATGGACCAAATTATTGAATATATGATAATATCTGAAATAGTGCCTGGCACAGAAAAAATCTTCACATAATAAATATTAGTTTTATCCTTTCTTTTCTTTCTTCCAGCATTCTAGACACTTTTCTCACCTAAACTATTTAACCTAGTCCTGTCCTAGTAATCATGAATCTCAACAGCTTTTTTCTTGTTTGGAAGTTGACTAGTCAGGAGTGTAACAGGAGTCTTCACGCCATGAACATGATCCCTGCACTGAAAATTGACTTTCACCAGAGGGTGACCCCTAGGTAGACCCTGGGTCTCTCCGTCAGCTCTGGCATCCTAATATACAGGTTGTGCCTCTTTAGAAGTCTTTTGTGATGTAAAAGGAATGCATTGATCAGCTTACCTCAATGAAGGCCTCAATCCAGCTATCCTGCTCCTGCCTCAATCAGGTGTTTCACTCAAGGTGTTCAGAGCCCAGTCAGCAGCAGGCTATCACATCCTTCTGGCCAGCAGCCAAGATAAAGTGGCTAAAGGCACAAACTGGGGCCACCTGCTACCTCTCTATGGTTTGCATGGCATCTCAGAGGTAGGAGGTGGGGAGTGCAGTACTAATAGTGCAGAGATCTAAGCTGTTACTTAAAGTAAACAGATTGAGAAGAGACTGCACGTATAAATGCTGTGAAGAGAAGCCACATAGCATAATGTTTAAGTGGATACTGAAGTCAGACATGATTCAAACTGCAACTTCACTAACTTTACAGCACGTTGGCAATTGCCTAATCTGTCTGTGCCTGTCTCCTTCTATATGATTTGATACCAACAGCCAACAT